CTACATACAACTGATAACCAACTTCACAAGCTCCTATCATTTAATATACCTTATATAACAAGATTTGGGAGAACTTAGGAAAATTATGTCCTTCTTGATTTCTCCTATTTCCTAAAATAGCTACCTCTGCCAGTAAGGGAAGAAATAATTGCCATCTCTTTTCTGGAATCATTGAAACTTTTTGTCAGGCTTCTCACATCCAGATACCTACTGCAGATACCTGCTGACTTCTTTTGTGAGAAACCAGGGTGATGCTAATCTCAGGGCAAAGAACAGCCCCCAATAACATTGTAACATCTGATATAAAATGTCAGTAGTGCTGAGATTAGAAACCTTGGTGTATATTGTCACATTGATAAATTACCTTCTCTCTTTACTGGTATCTAATTCCAAATATTTCCTTTCTTCTCAACTAAACCAAACATCCAACCTTTCTATCACTTAACATGCAGACAAAAAAAAAAAAGTGCTATATGTTTGTTTGTTTGTTTTTGATGTTTTTGCTTATCTTGGTTGTCTAGGTTTTACCTAAATCATCAATTTCCAAAGCAGGAAGAAACCAAAATTTAAATTACCTTTTACTGTAACAACTATGAGATCCAAGTTGGAAGGGAGTACAAACTCAGGAAGATCGTACCTTCTATTCCACACTCAAATTTCAACAACAAAGGAATGAGATCCACCTACTCCTTTATAAAAGGACTTCAAAAGGGATTTTCATAAAGCTACTGAATTCCTTTTCTGAGAACTTTCATTATCACACATTTTTCCTTCAGTTGGGAGTATTTTCAACTACTTTTTCTACCATTAGTCTAGTCTATCTCCTCTCTCTACTATGTTTCATCCCTAACAAAAAGTTTAAATAAAATACATCCCATTTCAGTTGTTCTTTACCTTTATTTTCTCTACTTTTCTGTCAACTCTTGAATCAATCATCTCTTTAGATGTGTCATTTCAGAAGCAAATGGGGCTTGGAGACTGATGGTCTAGCAGCAAGAAGAGTAACATCTTCCGTAGCAAAATGGCCGGTAGCCACAGTAGCCAGAGCCAGAGCCATATCCAAACCCACAGCAGGAGCCTCTTCCACAGCCCCATCCTGAGCCATAGCCACAGCCAGAGATTGAGCCATAACCACAGCCAGAATAGGGGCTACATCCACAGCCATAGCCGCATCCGTAGCCATAGCCACAGGAGTTCCCGTAGTTGCAACACATGTTGTCAGAAGAGAATTCAAGTGGGTTGCAAGTGAATGTGAGGTGAAGTGTGGTCTTCTACTTCCCTTGGGCCTTTATATACGGCCAGTAATTGGCAAGAACATACCACTCATCCCCTGACTTACCCAACAAATATGCAAGCAACTGTGTTGTGCCTGTCAATGTCAACAATCAATAATGTCTTGGAAAAAATGAGCTCATTATTTTGGGGACTCCCATTTTATTTAAAGAACAGCATTTAATTCACTCTGCCAAAGAATGTCTCAGTAGAATCATGTGTTCTACATACAACTGATACCCAACTTCACAAGCTCCTATCATTTACTATACACAATATAACAAGGTTGGGGGAATTTAGGATAATTTTTCCCCCTTGGTCTCTCTTTTTACCTACAATATCTACTTCTGCCCAAACAGAAGAAAATAACTCCCATCTGCTTTCTGGAATCATTGAAACTTTTTGTCAGGCTTCTCGTACCCAGATACCTACTGCAGATACCCACTGGCTCCTTGTGGTACAAACCAGGGATGACGCTAGTCTCAGGATGTAGAACAGCCCCCAACAACACTGAAACATCTGACTTAAAAAAATGTCAGTAGTGCTGAGATTAGAAACCTTGGTTTGTAGCTTCATATTGATAATTAGCTTCTCTCTTTACTGGTGTCTAATTCCAAATATTTCCTTTCTTCCCAATGAAACCAAGCATCCAAACGTTCCATCACCAGACACGCACACAAAAAAGAAGAAGGAGAAGGAGAAAAAGGAAGGTACTGTATGTTTTTTTGTCTGTGTGATGTTTTTGATTATCTTGGTTGTCTAGATTTTACCTAAGTCACCATTCTCTGAAACAGGCAAAATCCAAAATTTAAATTATTTTTTACTGTGACAACTATGACCTCCAAGTTGGAAGGGAGTACAAACTCAGGAAGATCATTCCTTCTACTCCACATTTCAAATTTCAACAACAGTGATATGAGTGCCATCCAGTTCTTTATTGTAAGCCTTCAACAGGGATATTCCTAAGTCTACTGAATTCCTTTTCTGAGAACTTTCATTTTTAAAATTTTTCCGTTAGTTGAGAGTATTCTGACTACTTTTTCTATAGTTGGACCCTGGTCTATCTGATATCTCTGCTGTGTTTCCCCCTTCCAAGAAGCTTAAAGAAAAATATATCCCACTACACTTGTTGTTCAACATTATTTTCTCTACTTTTCTGTCATTCTTGAAAATCAAAACTCTAAATTCTAATACACAAATTCTCTAGAATAGACACATTACTTTTCAAGCACCCACTTTCTGGTCACAATACTTCTAACTATTGGAAAATTTTTCTGTCTTTATTGCATAATTTCTAGCACCTTTCCATTTAGATCTCTGGATACTGACCCATGATGGCAGGAAAAAAAAAAAATCTCTTATTCTGTGCATCCCTGAATCACCACTTAGTCCCAAGTAGAGTACCCAGTCCATAATTTGAACTCAATCAATATTTCCTCAATAAAATCAGATGCATTAAAACAAAAACATGTTCTAACTTTGTTATGCCAGTTAGAAACTATAAGATATTTGGATGCATTATCACAATGTTCTCATTTCATCCGAATTGAAAGTCTGAAATGTTTTTTGACTAAGAGAGTCACAAATTTCCCATTTTGAAGATATGTGTTAGTTTATGAAGATATTTTTCCAGATGCTTAAATTATCTTATAAGCCTAATAAAGGATTGGCCCTTTACTGGATATGTAAATTACAATATTGATGCTTAATGGATGATATTCTCTCCTCTTTCAGAAAGACTTATGACAAGGATCATAATAAAACAATGAGTGGATTTTCAACAAACTGTAATTACTAGAATTCCATTCCCCTCTTTGTAGAATTTCCCCACCTCAGATTTACCCAGAGTACAGTCAGTCCTCACATCAGATGTACAAATATTCCATCTATGAAAACTATCCAGCTATTGAAGAACCCCTGTTTCTTCATCAGTAGGACAAATTATATCCTGGGCATAGCTTCACTCCAGGGCTGACTTTGATGGCAGAGTCATCTTCCTTGCAATTGGCCATTGGGTGGAGGCTCCTACCTCCAGGGACTGCAGACTCAGATTTGTGCAGTGACCCTTGTCATGGAGATGAGACAGTGAGTCATTTTTCACTTCTCATTGAAATCGAGCCTGAAAAGACATTCTGTGTTATATAATACAGTGATAGAGATCTGGAAAGTCACATGAGGAAAGGACACTGAACTCAGAAACCACAAAGTGGTAGGCTTTCAAACTCAGACAGTAGACTGGGCTTTTCATCCCATTCTTATATCTGCATCAATTGAGGCACTAGAGAGCACTTTTAAGCACTAGTTCTTGTTCTTTTCCACTAAAAATTGTGGCACCACTGATCATACCCAAAATATAATGCATTTCTCTTCTTCCTTAACACTTACTACCATACTTCCCAGTATTTCTTGTGACTGGCATCATCAGTTCATTTGACATGAAATGTCAAAAATACCTCCCTGAACTAACTCTTCAATGTTTCAACCTTCACTCTGTTCCCCAGGAAGCTGCTCTATTCCTTCCATAGCAATTATCTCTCTAAATATATCTTAATTAATCCTTATTTTTTCTTATTATCACCTATTAGAATATAAACACTCTGAGAACAGGAAACCCATCTACAATTGCGCTTCTAGCGTAAAGTGTGTAGGACTGTTCCCTCTCAGAAACAATCAAAACTTGGCCCCTGGTGGCTCAGTCAGTTAAGCATCTGACTCTTAATTTCAGTATGCACTCCATGGGAGTCTGCTTATCTCCTTCTCTCTCTCTGCCCCTTCCTCTGCTTGTGCGTGTGCATGCTCTCGTTTTCTCTTGCTCTCAATTCTCTCAAATAAAATAAATAAACCTTAAAAAAAATTCAAAACTATTTGTAAATTAAGTGACTTATATCAATTTCTTAAACTCAAAAAGTCCCAACAAATATATTAGCACTTCCATCAAAATGCACAAGATACAATACCACATTTGGCTTCTAATTTATCTTTCCCTTAGTTCTTCATTAGTCACCTGAGTCTGCTTCTAACCTCTCATTAATCCTGGAAACTCTCTCTTCCATGCCATTCATCCATCCATTCAGCACTCAGACCACACCTCCTCTCCCTTGGGGTTCTGTCACAACCACCTGAATAGGTGTCACTCCTTCTCCTCTTTCCCCCATCCCCAGCTTCATTCTGAACACGGTGTGATTTCCAGGGCACAGTTCTGAAATACTGTGTGATTTCTGTTGTGTTGGGAGTGCCTGAACATGAGGGATACAAGAAATAGGTGGAGAAGACATTATCTGTGATGCATGATGAGAAGTAATGCTTGTGTTATATCAAGGAAGAGCCCCCAGGTTCATGCAATGTATTGTCAGCCCGATTTTCAAGAGTGGCCATAATACCTGAAAAGGAGTAATTCACAAGCAAGAACACAGAGATTTGTTAGAAGCAAAGAACCATTTTTATTGAAAATAGGTTTTTTGTCCAACTGTGGGATGTTAGGATTGCTGGCATAGTCCTAACACAGAATCCAGATTAAGGGAACAAAGACCAGCATTTGGGAAATAGTCAGATGATACCACAAAGCCTGGAGCCGCAAGATGCCATCCTAGTAAATGTTCCCTGGGGGTCAAAGCCTCTGTCAAGCATGCAATTTCCTGGATGTAGAATACTTGAGGTATGGATCCTTGAATCAATCATCTCTTTAGATGTGTCATTTCAGAAGCAAATGGGGCTTGGAGACTGATGGTCTAGCAGCAAGAAGAGTAACATCTTCCGTAGCAAAATGGCTGGTAGCCACAGTAGCCAGAGCCAGAGCCATATCCACACCCACAGCAGGAGCCTCTTCCACAGCCCCATCCTGAGCCATAGCCACAGCCAGAGATTGAGCCATAACCGCAGCCAGAATAGGGGCCACATCCACAGCCATAGCCGCATCCGTAGCCATAGCCACAGGAGTTCCTGTAGTTGCAACACATGTCAGGAGAAGAGAATTCAGGTGGGTTGCAAGCGGATGTGAGGTGAAGTGTGGTCTTCCACTTCCCTTGGGCCTTTATATACGGCCAGTAATTGGCAAGAACATACCACTCATCCCCTGACTTACCCAACAAATATGCAAGCAACTGTGTTGTGCCTGTCAATGTCAACAATCAATAATGTCTTGGGGAAAATGAGCTCATTATTTTGGGGACTCCCATTTTATTTAAAGAACAGCATTTTAATTTTCTCTGTCAAAGAATTGTCTCAGTAAAATCATGTGCTGTACATACCAGTGATACCCAACCTCACTACCTCCTATCATTTAATCTACCTGATATAACAAGGTTGGGGGAATTTAGGAAAGTTTTGTCCCACCTGATCTCTCCTCTTTCCTAAAATATCTACCTCTGTCCATGGGGGAGGAAATAACTGCCATCTCCTTTCTGGAATCATTGCAAGTTTTTACCAGGCTTTCCCACCCACTCTGGACATCCATACCCCATCCCTTGTTCAATTCTCCTCAAATTCCAAGAAGTAGCTCAACATATGATAATTCACTTACTTTCATTGGGACACTGACTACTTATAAATTTGAAGTAACACATTATATATAAGTGTGTCTTCTTATATTTTCTCCTGTCATATACCAGGCCAAGTGAGGTCCTGGGGGATGCAGCAGCCCTCCTTTACTGTCCCTTTTTTTTTTTTTTTTTTTTTTTAGCTATGTAAGTGTTATGCAGAGCCTTTTATAGCAAATCAACTTTATTTGAATGAGAAAACAGAATACCTCAATTAAGCCAAAAACTAAACTTATTCCAATGCAGATATTACCAGTTTCACCTTATAAGATATCCGTGCATTCCTTGAATTTAACAAACCAGTATTTCCTTCTCCTACCACTACTGTTCACTGCACCTTTAGTTCAGAAGCTGAAGGTGAGTCAATGCCTTTAAGATACGGAACACAGCTACACGTTGGGGTTACGTGGGCCTACAGTTCTAACCCAACTCCAGACCTGAGAGTCATTTTGGAGGAAGCCTGTGTGCGGTGTTTTAACCTAATAGAGTTGATGAGAGCAAGGGGGAAAGAAACCTACGGTAAAGCAGGTAAACGTAGAAGCTTCTTTTGTATCCCAGGTGTGGCTTCTTGACCAGACCAAGCTGCAGTACAGTATTGATTTGACAGAGCCTGCACTTCAATAATGTCTGTCTCAAATGGCTCCACATGATTTCTGTACTGCAAAATAAAGCCAGACTCTGGAAACCAAAAAAAAAAAAAAGAAAGATATCTATAGCAAGACCCACCCTCAACTCTGACACTATAATGACATAAAGGAGCACGTAAATCAACTTTAACCCCTATTTATATGTCCTTTTTACTCTATCAGAGTTCTCCAAATTACCAATTTAGTATAAGTTCTCAGTCTTTGACAAAAATGTTCATTGTGATTTTGGTATATAATATGTTCCCTTTCTTCCAAATTATTCTATCACACTTACCTTTTCAACATAGAAAAAAGGAAAGTGAATGCCATTTCTAATGCCAGTAGTATTTTTCTTGCTTCCCTTGATTCTTGGTTATAAAACTTTTCTTTATACTTAGGTCTGTGGTCACTTTTTACAGGATGCTTTTCCTTGCTGCTAGTGTATGGACTGAATGATCTTCCCCTTTGCCCCTATATATAGACATATATCATAGCCCTTGGCCAGGTTTGTGGAAACTCTGTTTTCTTCACTAATCACCATATGACATTCTTGAGGAAGCACTGTCCCTTCCACATTAGAACTTTTAGGCAGAGCTGGTGTTTGGTCCACATTTTATGTAAGATAAATTTAAGGAACAGTGGAAGTTAATTTATAGACCCAAAATGAAGCCACTTCTGGGAGAAAGAACTGTAGCAAGGTGTTTTGATACCACATTGAATAAATGATCTTTCTACTGAAGACCAAAACATTACCAGGATGTAGAACATAGCACTTGCTTGTTTGTTTGTTTTTAGCCTTCAAATTCCTACCACATTCTAAAAATGTCTGATATGTATGACTTCTTTATTTTCTCTAATCTGTTTTTAATTGATATTTACAGCCTCAGCTGAACCATTGTAATTCTGCAGGAAGATACCTGTAATTAGCACTTGGATCTGATATATATATATATATATATATATATATATATAACCTCAACACCATCCATATATTACCTCAGTTGCAAAATTCCATGTGCAGCACAACTCAGCACTCCACGGCAAAATGTCCTTCTGACATACTGAAAGTGGATAAGCAAAGAATTCACAGGGAAAATACATTTTTCAGTGAACTTCAACTCTGCATTCCTATACTAAAAAATTACAAAATTTATCCACATCCATAATACAGTAAATATTGGAGTTCAACATCGTTTTTCAGAACTCCTCAAACTGTCTTTTCCCTCCCCTGCCCTTCCACAGACTTTTTATCACAATGATCCAGTTAGCTTAAGTTAGTGGGAAGTGATCAGAAAGACACCTACCTGCCTGCAAGTTCTTGATGTTTCAGGAAAGATTTAGAACTTAATAGAAAATGAGGTGCTCTGCAGAACTCAGCATCATGTCTTGCCCTGCTCTTTCCTTCTCAGCTTGCTTCTTCTGTGGGGTAGTTCACCGTCAATGACACTTTTCATACAGTGAGGTCCTGTTGGAATCCAGTAAATGGAAAAGTCCTGTTCTATTGCTTCCTTCTGCGCTTGCCTTTAATCACCATCTCAGAAGGACTCACACTTAAACTCTATGGACTTCCATTTAAAAGAATATAAACTCTAAAGACAACTGATTCTTGAAGCAAACAGGAATACCACACACCCTTCCTGCAGGATGTGGAGGGGTAAAGAAACAGTATCAGGACCCCCAGTGCTTTGGTCTCTGCAATACATAGTCCCTCCCAGCATTTCAGTCCCAGAAAGCCTGTAGCCCTAAAATTCTAATACTGCTTTTAATCCAAAGAATAGGACTACAAATCTATTCACCAGCTTCTCCTCTTCCAAGGCAAATATCTTAAATTTTCACTCGACCTACCCAGAATCCCATTACTTTTCTGATCGAGTTTTTCTCATCTCCACACATAGTTTAAAAATAATAGTTTTAAAATGATAACTTGCATATTTTTGTTGATTGCTTTGCTTGCTAGGCATTCCTTCAGCGACTTAGCTGAATTCCAAGACACTCATTAACACACACCACAGCTAAGGTGTTGTCTTGGGAACTGGAAATTTGCAAAGATGGTCACACGTTGTTCTTGTCCCAGGATTAAGCAGGTGCACATGTAAAGAGACTCCTCAAAAGAAGATCTAGTGTTTCTCTCCGGACCACTCTACCTTTTCACCACCTCTACCTTAGTACTCATCTGCTTTCCACACTACCAGAGAAATAGAAACAATGAAACTAATAACATTTCTGTATCAGTAGTTCTCAACCTGGAATGATTTTTGGCTCCTGGACTCTTGGAGACAATTGACAATATCTGGAGACACTATAACGGTCAAGACTTGAGCGTGGTGGGATAGAAACCAGGGATGCTTCTAATTCTTCAGGGCACAGAACAGCCCCCAACAACAAAGAAATATCTGGTCCAAAATATCAATAGCACTGAAATCTAGAAACTCTAGTTTATAGCTATGCATCTAATAAGTTTCTATACCTGTAAGTGTATAAATCCAAATATATTCTTTCTTTTCACTCCATAGCAAACATCTGACCTTTCCATCAACAATATGCAGTTATAAAAAAGTGAGGTTTTTTTCTATTTGTGGAAGATTTTTTGGCTTATCTTAGTTGTCTAGGTTTTACTTAAATCACCATTTTCAGAATCAAGCAGAATCCAAAATTTAAATTTACTGTAACAACTATGAAATCTAAGTTGGAAAGGAGTACAAACTCTGGAAGATCATTCCTTCTACTGAATACTCAAATTTCAAGAGCAAAGGAGAGAGTGGTGATTCAGAACTTTATTGAAAATCTTCAATAGACAGTGTACAAAACTTTCATTTTTTGAGAACCTTTATTATTAAATATTTTTTCTTCAGTAAATAAACCTTTATTTTTTATATTGATCACTGGTCTAATCTGATCACCCTGCTATGTTTCATCTTAACAATAAGTTTAAAGAAAATATATCCTTTTCCATTTACCTTCAGTTTCTTTCCTTTTCTGTCATCCTTAAAATTCAAAATTCCAAATTCTACTTCATGAATTCCCTAGAATAGACAATTTTCTTTTTCAATGCCACTGCCAGCACCCACTTTTATGTAAAAATACCCCTAGATTATTAAAAACTTCTTCTATCTATGCATTATTTTCAATATCTTTCCATTCACAACTGTAGATACTGATCCAAATGAAAAATAAAATTTCCATTCTGTGCATCCCTGAATCACCAGCTCTGAGTACAATGCCTGGAACATGATTTGTACTTGATCAATATCTATCCAATAAAAGAATGGATGGATTAATTCAAACACATGTTCAAATATTGGTGTGCCACTTATAAGCTATACAATATTTGGATATATGCTTAAATCCTCTGAATGTTAGTTTCTTCTTTCTAAAACTGGGTCTAAGCATATTACAGAACTATTTTTTATATGTTTCATGCCTAGTCAGTGTTTTGGGACAGGAATTGTACTCAATAAATGTTATTCCCTTCATCTTATTTTTCTTGCACCATAGTTTTAAATTCTCATCTAATAATTGTTTTTCAAATATCTATATTTATTTGTACTGAAAGACTGATTTTGTCTGCACTTAATGTAATAACTTTGTAGTTTGGAGTAGGTTATTCTATGGTGTATATATATACATATACATATATGTATAACTAAAAACGTCGTTATGATGAAGCAAAACCCCTCAAAAAATAAGTTACTCTCCTAGTGGCATTTTTACACCCTGACTTAGCCATTCTGTATTGTAATTTGTTACTAAAAATACAGTGTCAACATAATGTCATTGGATATGATATCATGCATA